ATTTATCGTGTTGCGCTTCGGCATATCATGATCATAGTTATTTCTAACAACATCATGTATAACTGCAACCATCTCGTAAACTGATTCATTTATTAGATTGGTCGCAACATCGTCTTCACCATGGTAATACCACGTCGTATATAAATGATTGAAACCATATTGGTGTATGTGTGCTCTAACTGTTTCTACTGGAAAACACTTATGGTTTAAACATCTCCGACACGGACAACTTGTACAACCGCTTTTATCAACATAATCTTTGGCAATATTGATAAAGGCAAACAACCCTTCCCAATACTAATCAGACAACCAATTTTTCAGATGTATCCAACTCTTATCAATTGACATCTTGACTATAAAAACAATAACACATATAATCACACTTCATGTTTTCTTGTGACTATATAATCACGTTTATAAAGAAAGTTTAACATTTCATGCTTCAATTTTATAAGTTTTATCAAATTTAATGAACAAGTTATTTTTTTATTGTTGCACTCATAATGTTTATAATTAATTTTTAATTTTTTTATTAATATAATTAATTCTTATTAATTAAATTCTTAAAATTAATAGGTTTTAATAAAATTTCGGCATTACAACGACATATTTTTCTTATTATCCAAAAATTCAAACCTGCAAAAAATAGTTTTTAAAATATTTCAGCACACCATAACTGCAAGATGTGCCACCCAGAACAATTATTAAAACTTTTAATCTCAACCTAAATCAAATTCTAATCTTAAAATTTCAACAATCTCAATATCAAATTTCAACAATCTCAAAATTCATAATCTAAAATTTAATCTATAATCCAAATTTTAAATTATATACTAATTATAAAATCTATAAATCAAATTTTAAGATTTATAATCTATAATTATATACAATTCAAATAAAAAAAAAGTCATAAATTTTAAACTAACAAATACAATAATTCGGACTAAAAAAACTTACAAAATTTAAACCCACTAAAACTGGGGCTGAAAATGGTAAGATTAACAAGGACAAAGGGTGGCGGCGGCGGCAGACTTCAGCGGCGAGAATTTCGGCGGTGGCAACGGTCTTTGAGATTTTGGGATTTTTTGAATGAAAAAATAAATAAAACTTATAATATTGTTGATTTTGAAGAGAATACAAAGAGATTTTAAGATTGTGGGGTGAGAAAACTAGAGAAAACGGTGAGAGGCCGAGTGAGAGAGAGAGAGAAAAGCCGAACGGAAAAAATGGAGGAGGAGGCTCTGCTCGTGGGCATATAACAGACTTTTTTGCGATGACATAAAAGACTATTTACGGTGACATGTCGTCGCAAAAATAACTTAAAATGATTTGCGATGACAACTCATTATTTACAACAACACGTGTTGTTGGAGAAAGGTTCTGGAATACTTATTTGCAACGACAGATGAAATGTCATCACAAATAATATTTGGGGACCCACCCACTTTTATCGCCTTCTATTTTACTGAGGGAATACAAAATCACTTTTTGCGACGACACATATTAATGTCGTCACAAATTGCCACCCGCCAAAATAATCCTTTTTGCTCAGGGAAAAGAAACAAATAAAATTTTATTTGCGACGACATGTGTTGTCACAAATAATAAACTATTTGCGACTACATGTCGTCGCAAATAATGGTTATTTTGGAGGTAAAAGTTCGCGTCATATGAGATCTGGCGCCAGCCATTATTTGTGACGACATGTGACATTTTAGCAATGACATTATTTTTTCAGTTTTACGAAAATATTTGTGACGACATGTCGCTGCAAATATTCACTTATTTACGACAAAAATTGTCGTCGCAAATAGGCCAAATTGTAGTAGTGTATCTCTTCCCTCCTCTTGTCAAAAGACCATTATACTTATAAATATCAGTATGAATAATATCCAATATTTGAGTATTGTGTTTGGCTCTAAAAAAGGTTTCTTAGTCATCTTTGCTTATATGCAAATTTCACACTTATCATTATTATATTTAAACATGATTGCTGAACCTCCCTTTCGTTCCCGTTTGATAAATGTATTTTAGATTCTGATTCTGTTACAACATTTTTTCTTATACAAAATTTGAATTCAAAAATATTTCTCACTAATAATTCACTAATAAAGTTTCCGTCAATAAATCAAAATCACAATCACTGACTTAAACGCGTGAACTGACTTGAACGCGTGAACTAAACGGAGTTTATATTTTCAGAGTATGGCGATATTAATTCCTTATTATTTATGTCCACTCCTTCTGCCTGGAATAACAATATCGACATAATTGTAGCTATTCTCCTTTTTTCATATTATTTGTCACTTTTTTTTTCCTTTTTTCTTTTTTAAAAATGAAATTGATCAATATTCCTGTCAATTTAATTTGCAGCCTCTATTTTGTCCTTGCCACAACCTACATTGCGTGGTTTCAAATCCTTGACATACATCATACCCAATTCAAAATGGGAAGTTGCATGGCAAACCACAAAAATTTAAAAACTTTATATTTATCCAATTAAACATAAGTAGATATTTTCAAATAAATTAAGAAGCATAGATGTTAAACTCTTATACCATTTGACGACACAAATATAAAAATAATATCATTTGAGATCACATATATGGAATTTTAGGTGTTTCCCATTAGGACGAAATTAATTAATTAAATGTGGACCACAAAACATGCTGGCTTCTCCAGCAATCTTTATAAGCCACTTACATATCTTTCATGTCCAAAACACATAAGATCATATGGTGAGAAGTGAAACTTGGAATACAACGTTAGACACAAACGTTGATGTCATCAGATGAATAAGATTACTTCAAAAAGATATTCTCTGATACGCCAATATGCTTGTAGGTTAAGTTTTTTGTCCGTCGGATTTGCATAAAATCACGTGAAAGTCAAAAAGTACACAGATCTAAGGATTAAAAAAACCTGACCTACCAGTACACCAAGTGTTCCAAAGAATCTCCCTCCTTCAAGTTGGTGGATGTGAGAGAAAAAAGCTGCTTAGTGACTACCTTGTAACGGAGAATTATTTTAAAAAATAATAATTTTCTGATGTTATAAAATCTATTTCCCATAAAAAGAGTATAGAGCAAAACCAGTCTATCCGACCAACAATTAGGGAGATCCTCTGGTACATCTGGCGTACCGGTAGGTTAGGTTTTTCTAATAGTTAGATCTGCCTACTTTTTGATTTTTACGTGATTTTATGCAAATTCGACAAACAAAACTTTACCTACAAGTATGTTGGCGTACTGGAGAAGGTTCCCAAGAATTAAACCCTGACTAAGAAATATCTTGTGGCTGTAGTTCATAAAATGCAAAACCCAAGAAAATTGATAGTCTGAAAATGTCAAATAATCAAATGGCAGCGATAAATATATAAACAAGAAATTGTTATATAAGCTTAAAACTAGTAGTGGGAAGGGTTTTAAAAACAATCCCCCGTTCAGTTCAAACAATGAGCACAGTTGAAATTTGTATTCGGTAAACACATAATCCAAATTATATTCCCCGTTTGAACTGAGTTAAATTGTCCAATTTAGAGTTTACTCCCCCTTAAGTTCAACTATTCAAACTATTTTTGAACAATAAAAAGGTACCTACTCTCTCTGCATTTCACACGTACCAAACACAAATTATAACTTTTTTTCATGTTCAGATTAAAATTTTAACTGCACATCTGAAGGTCAGTTCAAACTACAATTTAAAACATACAATTTGAATTTTTCTGTTCAAACAAAAAAGTTCAAATTAATGAAATTCGAACTAGCAAACTAAACAAGAGATAAGACTATTTTCAAATTTTTTCTTTAAGTTGTTATTTTCGTTTCATTTTATTTTGTTTTGCTTGCATTTGATTTTGGTTTTCTTTAGTTTGCTTTGGCTTTATTATTTGATTATTTTAGAACTTTTTTTTCTTTTTTCTTTAATAAAGTTTTCTGTTTATACAAGAAAAGTAATAGTGTGTGTTTTTCTTTTTTTGGCAAACATTAGTATAGCGATACAGTGAAAAATGTGGGCATAAATAGAAACTATGGATATAATTGGTTCTCTTTTTTTTTTAATTTTCTTCTTTTACGTATTTATGATTTAATATTGGACGAATTCTGGTAATAATTAATTTTAAGTTAAATTCAAAATTCAAAGACCACCATAACCTACTGTATCCTAGAAATTGATCGTCATGACCAATTTTTTTCGTTCCCGTTTCCAATCATGATCAATAACAAAATACTTATTCGTGAACATTATTCAACTAAGCACTCTAATTTATAAGTTCCTAGAAGATACAATATAATTTGCTACAACATTATTAAATATAATCCTTGTGTGATGACCTTTTACTTCTAGTCATCACTATTACATTCATACTATATTCATATTTTAACTTGTACTAGTTTAAAACCATAGCATGAAAAGAGGAAATTCTATAAAGGACCCGCGAAAATTGTTAATTTTACTTCAGTCTACCAACTTAACTAAAGTTTATGAACTATATTAATAAATCTCATTTTGTTTAAGGATGTTTGTTCATGGTCTCAAATAACAACCAATAGATGATAAAAAGAACAAAGATATCAGAAAAAGGAAAAAGAAACAGAAAAACTCTGCGGTCATCGTTTGATAAAAGCTGAAAAAGGATCAGTGAATTCCTCGTGTCCCCAGCCTAGTGAAATGAAAATTAAAAACTGACTCCTTACTTTCATCAACTAGTATTCAGAAAGTCCAAAATCACATCAGTCCAAAACAATTTAAGTGTAGAAATAAAACTGACTACTAATATGTGTGCAAAAGTATGTCTACTTCAGTCAATTTATATGTTCACAACAATTTTTACATAGTTTACCAAACACCTAAAATTCTGCTTATGATATTCACAATAGCTTTGAAAAAGAAAAAAAAAATGTACCAAACACTTACATGCTTCTGATCACAACAACTTCTAACTAACAGTACAGCTACGACAAAAAATTTCAACAGCACAACAATATCAAACTGGCCTTTAATACTTTAATTTTTATTTCCAATCTCATTACATTTCTCTTACATTTCTTTAGGGTTTTATAAACGCAGTCTAAGATTAAATTATGGTTCCCGCCATGCTCATAATGGGACTGGATTTATAAGTAAGGCAGCAACTCCATCTCTGGTCACTTGTCCAACATGTGTGTAACCATCATCCTCTTTGTAAAGCAAATCCATGACTCTTGCAAAATTAAGCACACGCATAAGTATAGCCGTTGGCGCAGAAGTTGGTCTGAGGAACTCCTGGTTTATATCTTTCCATGCATTCTCTATTTGCTTCTTGAACACGTCACATGCCTCTTGCTCTGTCACTCCATATTGCTCCATGTAGCATTCAACACCAGATGCAACATGCTTTCTTTCTTGCTCAAACTGCAAAGCCGCAAATTTCAAGTAAATATTGATAAATAATTGTTCCTTTTGTTTTTTGTTCAAAAGCACCAAATATCACTATATATACATGTGATGAATATTAGTTATATCACCACTCACGTAGCATTCACATTAGCGTGACCATTATATAATAGTGTTGAAGAAGTCTATTGATTTTATGTCTTTTAACAAGTGGAAGAAGTGACAAAAAAAAATATATATATGTTTTTATCATTATTGTTGGCGTAACCTCACTGGTGGAGCCATGTTCAACTCGCACTTTAGAATTTCAATTTTTGCTCCTAATTTTCTTTTCATATAATTTTAATTGTGCCCCTACTTTATAACAAAATTTCTTGTACCTCGATTCAATAGTTGAAACATATAATCACGACCGGTACTCAATAACGTATATTATCTCTAACTTTTTTAATGCTCCACTAATTATACTCTGGTCGCCTTCAAAAAAAAATAATAATAATAATACTCTTGTAGCTATGTTACTGTATTATCCAGCAGTACGTCCACACCTGATTCCGCCATGAGATATAGAATTCAAATCACTTACCGTTATAATATGTAGAGTTGTAAGTTTGAATCAGAATAAATAAGCTGATCTGAAACCCGCTAATATTAGTTCAGTTCGGTCCAGGACCTGGCCGAATCTTTATATATAAGGGGAAAAACAAAACAAAAACAAAAACACACACTTCGGGCTGGTCCCGCCCAACTTTCAACTCATTGTTTTATGATCAAATACATATAAGAATACGAATATATACCTTATGGCCAGCAATGTCATCCATGAGCCTACAAATGAGTGCTGCAGCTCTAACAATCTTGGGGTCATTGAAAAGCCACTTAAAGACATCATTTGATGCAATATCCCCCATGCCAACCAATGATGCAGACACAAGCAACCCTAAACCAGTGGAGTGCAACGCAACTGATAAATACTCCTCAATGGTTGGGGTGTATTCTTGTTGTAACCATTTGGCTTCATCAAAGTAAGCTCTTGACAAATTTTTCATCTGGGGTACATTTTATTAAAAAAAAAAAAAAAAATGGTAAATTAAATAAATATCGAAAAGAGCTGCAAAATTAAGTTGACCAACGTAGTATAATTGTTTATTGCAATGTGTTTAGTAATGAAATTGAAATTGAAGTACATTTCTTTTTCCTCTAAGTAAGAAAAAAAATGTACTTTTTTTTGTTTTTTTAAGGAAAAAAGAAATATCAAGTTGTCAAGTATATGTACCGCCTCTTTAACATAATGAACCCTGTATCTTTGTTCCTCCTTCAACTCTGTTTCGAACTCTTCAAAGACATTAAGCATTGTCTGATAGAATAGTTGCATATATTGCGGAAGTTTAGCCATGCATTTCACATCCCAACTGCAAAATTGGTACAAAACTCATATTCATCAAAATATAAGGCACAAACTTATAGATTAAATATCAAAGCTTTAATTATGTGTGAGAGGATAGCTATGGGATTGAGTTCTTTGTCCAATTTTAGTGTTCCAAATGATAACTAATCAATTACATTATATCATTTTATAAAATGGACTCAGATACTCAATCATGGGAAAGTTAGTTAAAAAGTATAACAAATCTTTTAAATTTAAATGACTTAATCTTAGTATATCAAATCTTTCTAACAAAAAATTTAAATCCACATTCATGGTAACTTGTTGCCAAGACATTACCTCTCAATTGCTTCAGTAAGGAGCTCTAGTTCTTCAAATATACCAAATGAATCGTAGATATCATCCATAATTGATGACAAGGCTATAACTTTGGTAAAAACTCTTCTCCCAAGAAAATATTGGGGCTCAAAATACATTCCCATCACCCAAAAGTACGACTCCACAATTCTATCTCTTATTGGTAGCTTGCTAGCAAAGTCCAATTCTTTCCACCACCTAAATAATTACTTGAATTAGTTATAACTCTGAACTATAGTACTATTATATCTTGAAATTTAACTCATCAATATATTATCTATTCCATAGGTTAAAGAAAATATATATTACCTTGATATCTCTCCAAGCTCCTGCTTATGCATAGATTGTAAGAGGTTAAAATCTAACTTGGCAAGTTCTAATAAAGCTTTTTTATCCGAAGCTTCATCTTGGAAAATGGATATGTAATGCCTGGCATGTAACCTCTCTAGACTCTTTAGCAAAGGCGTCTTTAGTGCAAGGGAAATCTGGTCTGCTAAAGGATTGCTTATGTTAGTTGCCAATATGGATTCAAGGTGAGTTGTGGCAAAAACTAAGGCTTTGTCCATTGTATCTTCTCCGTGCAATCCGAAATGTGAAGCCTCGTACAAGCTTAGAACACCTCGGACGTCATCGACCGAACATTCCTTGAAGTTCCTGTTCTCATCTTTGAATTTTTGGAATATGTCTGCTTCATGTGCAAAAAGGAGATATTATTTACTGTATAAAACCTAAAGTTGTGGGTTTAGTTAGTTATAGGTACTTATAGATATTAATTTCATTTAATTTTCTAGCACTTACACTTACTTGAGTTCTAGGACTTTTTTCAAATGGTCACTACAAATTGAACCTTTAGAGTGGTTGATTTTTTGTAGTCCTTAGAGATTGGAAAACTTTGGATGCCCGTTTTTATAAATTATTTTTCTCATTTAATAAATTGAGTCCGTGATTTCACATTGGATTCACTTGTCAGTGGATGCCAACGTTGCTAGTACATGCTAGCAAACCTTCCTCCTTATTTACGTAAAAAATAAAAAATAAATAAAAAATAAAAAAAGGTAAAAATATGTCTTGAGCACTACAATAATAAGAGTTTGAATGTATTGCCGACACTACTCTTTGACACAAAAAATCCTTTAAAAGAAAAGTACTGATTATAGAGGTCGGCAGAACCCAAAGAGCTTTATATGATAGCGATCCACATGCAGCTTAGTACATGCTTCTTGCATGCCCCTCTTTGTTAGTGAAAGGTCAATTCTTTGTAGTAAATTTCCCGACCATGCAAAAATACTAAATACCATCTGTGTGGTACTGGTATGGTGGTAAGGATGTCCTAATCAAAGTTTTCGCTACTATCGGCCCAATGTTCGGGTCATGCCGCATGCAAAAATCGACCATTTCGCATTGACAATGCCCTGGTGAACTTTATGAACTTTTGGGCTGAATTCTCAAAAGGGCGTAATCAAGTCCGTTTGGTTCATGGATTAGAACTATATGATTAGAACTATTTTCGATTTACGTGTATTTTTTGTGAGAGAAAATACTGTAGCGAACCACGAATTATAATTCGAATCAGAAAACGAATCCCTCTACCAACCATCACCGGTCCAAATTTCTAAAGTGCATATCAAATATTTGCCTTATATATTGAACTTACCACATGAAATGTAAAATCCATGTTGTCGCAGCACTCGAAACAGAAGAGCAACATCATGTAGTTCAATGTCATCACCATGGCAATCATAGGTCGTATATATGTTTTGCAGTGCTTCTTCTATTTCTTTCTCAAAATGGTAGGACAATCCCAAGCGTTGTACTTCGTCAATTAACTTTATCTGATCCCAAACGTCATTTGCAGCGTCCACAAATATCTCCTTCCTCACTACTTCTCTCAATTCTTTAACTTGTTGTTTTGTAAGCTCCCGAGTTGTCTAGATCAGAAAACGTAAATAACTCGAGTCACACATTATTTAAATATAATCATTAATAAACATAAACTTCTATAGAATTGGATCGTTCCGGTACTTAATTGGTTGACTGTGAAAACCTATGCTCTTACAAAGTCCAACTTCTTTACAAAGTCCAACGTTTGATTTATATTTTTTTTAATTTTAACAAAACAATCCTGATATTATTAAATGAGTGTAATTAAATCTTTTTCGTCTATCTCCATTAAATTATTCACGTTAAAACTCATGTAACTCTTCACGTGACTCTGATTATGAGGGTTATTTCTGTAAAAATCACGAGTAATATATCTGAAATATAACTTTTTTTAAAAGGTCAAGCAATATATCTGTAGGAAAAAAAACAAAAAAACAAAAAAAAAAAAAAACCTTAAAACTCAAAAAAATGAAGAAAAAACGAATTAAAAAAAAAAAAAAACAAAGATAAACACTCCACAAAAATCAAATCAAATCTCCATTAAAAAAATCAATTCATATGAGACTTTTCTACAACTTTTTTCAAAAAAGCAGAGAGAGAGAGAGAGCAGCCATTGTCCGCGGAGGTAGTGGGAGGCTCATATCTGCTTTCTTTTGGTCTGATGGTGGATTGAGGTGGCTCCACAAGCAAAGGATTAAAGATGGACTAGGAGAAAGAAAAAGGAAAGTAATGATGATGGAGTGGTAAGGAATTGAAAGAATTCCGTGGGGTTGTTTGTCTCAGGTTTGAAAACTAAGGAGTTGCCAAATGTGTTTTTTCCTCTCAAGCTTTAAATTTAAACTGAAACTGGGTTTTTCTTTAGAATCTGAAAATAATAATCTGTGTCCTTAGTTTGGATTTTTTCTCTATTTTTATGTTGGTGTTTTAGGTACGAGGAACAATAAAGAGACGTTTAGTTCATAGATTAGAATCATGAAATTAGAATTATTTTCGATTACGTATATTTTTTTTAAGAAAAAACATTGTAACGAATCACGAACCATGATTTGAATTGGGATACGAATCCCCCAACCAAACAACCCATTAGATCTTTTTTTGGGAAAAAAATCATTATTATTTTTTTGTGGCTCAAATCAATATTAATTTTTAGATTTATGAGATCTATCTTATAATACCCATTTGAAAAAATTATCTCCATGTAAAAAGTTATCTGGTAATACCCATTTGCTCAAATCAATAATTTATCTGCATGTAAAAATTGTTCTTTTTTGTTTTTTTTTTTTTTGGTGAGTTACTTTAGTTTATGGGGAGGAGATTAAAAAAAGAAAAAAAAAATCAAGGTAAATTACTCTTTTAGCATAGTTATATGTCACATGAGGACGAACGCATTAATTTTTGTTAAAAATTGACGGGGAGATAGATAGAAATGACATAATTATACTAATTTAATGACGTTAAGAATTATTTTATTAAAATTAAAAAAATAATAATTAAATTATCACTTATTAAAAAAGTTAAAAACTATCGGTGTCAATTAATCTTTATAGATAATTAATTTGTTGCTTTTAATAATATATAATATAAAGCTAAAATATTTGTGGACGAGTGGGCATATATATAGGGCCCGTTTGGTTCGCTGATTCGAGTTTTAAATTCGAGTTAAGATGTGACTTTATGTCAGAATTTTTTACTGTAATAAAAAAATTAGATGTGACTGCTTCTGAGAGCTTTTTACTGTAACAAAACTCAAATTTTAAACTCGAATCGGTGAAGTGAACAGGGTCATAATTCTCTTTTTTTTTATATAAGACAGTTGTTAATAAAAAAAAAAAAAGTCTTCCAAAGTAACTATAGACGACTTTTTTTTTTTTTTTTTACTATAGAGCACATTTAATGGCATAACTAGTCAAAGAAAAAGTATATAGATGACAGTTTCTAATGGAACCGTCCTCTTATGTGATGTTATAGAGGGCGGTTGATAACTGTCACTCTATACGCTGGTAGAATAGAGGACAGGCACATAGAAGACTGTTCACAAACTGAGTAGTAATAAGTAGAAGTAATAAGTAGTAGTAATAAGTAATAAGTAATGAGTAATAAGTAATAAGTCATAGTAATAAGTAATAAGTAATAAGTAATAGTAATAAGCAATAAGTAATAAGTAATATGTAATAAGTAGTAGTAATAAGTAATAAGTAATAAGTAATAAGTAATAAGTAAGTTGTGTGGAATATTATAAGCAGAAAATGGAACAAACCAAGTCAATAAGATTGTAGTTGAGGAACCGATCCCCCCAAATGCATGGATGAAAACTTGCGATTGGCCGGGCAATATTTTTGGGTTGAGCATTTTGGTGTACAAGTGGTGAAGCTTGAGTAGACATATTGGAGTAGACGAATTTGAAATACTAGTATTACTTGTTTGGGTTTTAATAACATGTATGTTGTGCAGATCACTTGTAGAAGGCTTGTTTATTTATAAGCTAAAGCAACTGGACAATAGCAATTCATTAAAAGAAAAGAAAAGAAAAGAAAAGAAAAAACTGGGAAAATATAAGTACAAAACGTGAATCGAGTGCTTTAAAGCGGTACTATATGTCTACTACGTTAATATTTCTTTGGCTGTCTACCACCCAACACCCACATGTGCTCATTATCTGTTTTTATTTCCAACAATTTCTATTCACAAATAATAATAATAATAATTTATAGACCACAATATTGTGTGTGGCGATATTCAATTTAAACACGATATATTTATTAAACGTGTCAAAAATATAAATCCAAACACAGTCTATTTATTAAACGTGTTAATCGTGTCAATTTATATAACTCGTTTAAATTAATATATTGAATAAATAATTAATATAATAATGACTTATTTAACACAGTTAAAATAAGTTTAACATGTTTATTAGTCAATTTATTTATTTTTTTAAAAATAAATAAATTTTATTTATAAATATTAAAATTCACATTATTGGTGTACAAGTGGTGAAGCTTGAGTAGACATATTGGAGTAGACGAATTTGAAATACTACTATTACTTGTTTGGGTTTTAATAATATGTATGTTGTGCAGATCACTTGTAGAAGGCTTGTTTATTTATAAGCTAAAGCAACTGGACAATAGCATAAAAGAAAAGAAAAGAAAAGAAATGAAAAGAAAAGAAAAAACTGGGAAAATATAAGTACAAAACGTGAATCAGGTGCATTGAAGTGATACCGTATGTCTACTCAACTAACTCCGTTAATATTTCTTTGGCTGTCTCTAGTGCTGGAACTTCGGGTTGGCAGGCCGCCCGAAGCCCAAATTTTTTCGGGCTCAGGCGGGCCGGCCCAATTCCCGCCCGTCCAAGGAAGAAATTTGGGTTCGGGCTCGGGCAGCCCGGATTTGACATGTCCACCTTTGCCCGCCGCCGTCTAACCACCGTATACCGCCGTCCGCCGGGATTTTTTTGCATTTTTCCGACCAAGCCCGAACTGCCCGACCCGAAAATTGCCCAAAAATTGGGTGTGCCCGAATTGCCCGACCCGAAGCCCGAATTTTTGAATTTTTTGAATTTTGCCCGAATTTTTCCCGCCTGCCCGACTTGCCCGACCCGCCCGAGGTGCCCGAATTACCCGAATACCCGAAAACGGCTAGTTTTTTGAATTTTTACCCGAATTCGGCCCGAAAACCCGAGTTGCCCGAGTTGCCCGAACTGCCCGAATTGCCCGATTTGCCCGAAAACGGCTAGTTTTTTTAATTTTGCCCGAAATTTGCCCGAAAACCCGAGCTGCCCGAGTTTGCCCAACTGCCCGAACCCGAATTTCAAAAAACTAGCCGTTTTATCCCCTTTTTTTTAAAAAAAAATCATTTTTTAAACCCAAAA